CACAACACATACATAAAACTTCCCCCCTTTCAAAATGCTACAAATCAGAGTTTTAAAGGGTTCCCAACAACAGAATCCCCTCATCTCAAATGACCAACTCATGGGAGTTCCTTGGCCCAAGCCTTGGTAAATGTATCACACTTTGGGGGAATATACCCTTCCCCTGTCCTTGAAAAATTGACTGGAGCATGCAAAATATATATATCTATTGCATACAGGGTGGGCCAAAAAAAAAAACAACAAAGCTATTATTTTTCATGAGTTGTCATTCTAATTGTAGTCTGCCAATTCTGATTAAATTTGGTGCACACATAGGATGATTCAATTGCAGTTTACTTGCCAAATTTCAGACCAAAATGTAAGAAATCATATGAGAATGGCATTTTCATTCACTTTTCATGTCCAAAAAAGTAAGTGTACTTTTTTTTAAAACTTACACGCATATTAATGGCTCAGTCAATAAATCTTTGAGGCAGTGTCTCCCCAGCTTCCTCTATAGCATAATGCAGGAATGGAAGGTCACGAAATCACTCTCCCTCTCATCCCCGCCTCAGGTTCACATCCATATTTTCAACAGCAAATTTGGTCGTGGGTCATCAGAAAATAAGCATACTGCTCCTACAATTTTAGAGCCAGTAAGTTTAAATTTTTTGCGTAAAATATCCAATTGAGTCGCACCCTATAAGCCCCTGGTAAATTTAATCAGAATCAGCAGTGTCTGCCAGGCATTTTACAATAGCTTCAAGATGCCTGTCAGAGAATTCCCAAGGCTGCTGGACTATGGCTGCTCAAGGGCTTCTGCTTCTGTCCATGAATATCAATCAGATCTTAAGGGACAAAATCTTATACTTCCCAACTCACCTCATCCACATCCCCACTTCCTGCAACATCCACCCTGACCTCTTCATCATCAAATAGGAGCCCTCCTATGCCTCCTGGCACTGAGCCTGAAAGAAAGAAACAACCTGAACCTGCTTCTTTCCCACCTCGCAGACGACACGTCCTTGAATTGTGACGGGGAGGTGGTTCTGCCCCGCCACAGATGCTGCACGTTACGGCCCTCCGTCTTCCCATCCAGCTTTGGTTCTTACAGCCGCAAAGCAACACACGCCAAAAAAAAAACCAACGGAATGAGAGAGGGAAATTCCCTACTCAATCACCCGATGTGACCCTGGAAAAGGCTTGCACGAGGTAAGGAGGACACCAAACTACTGGCGCGCATTCCGATCAGCGAGTGAGGGACCAGCTCCAGGTCATCCTCCTCCTGACCTCGGAAAAAGTTCAACGGCCCAGGGAGAATACTTTTCTCTTGCAAAATTCGTCCCACCCTTTTTTTCTCCGCCCCATCAATCACCTTTCCGACGACCACACACACGCGGTCAACGCGTGGGCGTTTGACCCGCCATGGTGGGCATGTGTTTGTTTGGTGCGGATCCGTGACCCTGCACACACTCCCCGCAGCTGCCGTTCCCTCGAGTGCGACACACTCCCGGTTCGACCGCGCACGTTCGCGCTGCCCACGCCACGAAGCGCGAGCGGATCGACTCCAAAAACGTTCCTCGGTGCCTCGACCTGGCGTTCGAACGGATGCACGCGAGACGGCGCCGGGCCCGCGTGCGGTATCCTCCGATTCGGCGCCTGGTGATTTTTGCTTATGTATCCCACACAGCACAGGGATATCCCAGAGATATCCCCTTGGGACAAATACGATGTCCCAGAGACAAGGAGTAGGGACATCTTAGGAATATCAAAATGTCTGGGCCCAATGACATCCCAAGGATTTCTTGAAGAAATAGCACATCCCAGAGATGTCCCATGGATATCCCCTTGGGGCAAGTCCTACCCAAGTAGCAAGGGATCATCCCTGGGACTTCCCAATTGGATCCTACGTGGGACAAAATGACATCCCATGGATGTCATAATGAAATCTTTCCGGGTTATGGAAATCCCTGGAGTATTCAGAGGACACCCCGTAAGGTTAGAAATACTCTCGTCCCATGCACCAAATCCTTAGTATGTCCATAGGACGTCCTTTATGGGACACATCCACATCCCGCAACGGACGTCCTATGGACATACTAAGGATTTGGTGCATGGGACGAGAGTATTTCTAACCTTACGGGATGTCCTCTGAATGCTCCAGGGATTTCCATAACCCGGAAAGATTTCATTATGACATCCATGGGATGTCATTTTGTCCCACGTAGGATCCAAATGGGAAGTCCCAGGGATGATCCCTTGCTACTCGGGTTGTGGGGACATCTCAGGGATATCACAATGTCAAGAGGTAAAGACATCCCAAGGATGTTTCTTTCTTGTAGCACAAGAATATCCGAAGGATGTCCCATAGATATCCCATTGGGACAAGTGAGAAGTCCCAAGTAGTACTTGTAAGGGCCTTCCTATCCGCAATGGACTCATTTCTTATCGCACAGAAGAACCCTTTGCTTTCGTAGATGTCAATATTTTATCCAGGAACACCTAATCTAAAGTTCTTGATCGATTGAAGAGTGACGATTAAGGGGGAGGAAAATACCGTTCCTAAAGGACATGCCGATCAGACATCATTAATGAGAATATAAAGGGATAAATTAAAATTCGGACCGCAATTTTTATTTGTTTATTATTTTTCGAAAAAAAGTATTTTTTTTTTTGTTGTGGGACATATTTTTCCCACGCTATATCTCGAGAACTATGGGAGATGTAGCCTCCAAACAAAGTTTTTTGGAATCTACACGTCATTTTCACCCTAAACACGTCATTAAAGTTAAGGTCGCTGTCCCGCAATGCTTATGGTCTTGAAAGGGTTAAAGCCTTAGAGCAGGGGTTCGTGGGATAGGTCCAGGGGGTCCGTGGAGCGTCCATGGAAAATTAAATATATAATTGAAGGTAGCTCCCAAAAAACATCATTTATAATTACAAATCCAGTTGTTCCAAAGTTTCTGCTGACCGGGGGTGGGGGTCCTTGGGTAATACTTGAGGATCTGGGGGGTCCGTAGGTGCAAAAAGGTTAAAAACCCCTGCCTTCGAATGAGTTTCTATATGTGCACGCGATTGTTGAGCTACCCTAGCGGGGCATTGCCACCGAGTCTCTCTCAGTCTGGAGGGAGTACTCCAGCGAGTACTCCCTCGATTGTCATCTTCGGAGGCCTTCACTTTCAACATGGGATTTGAACGCTATCGTGATTTCATTCATCACTCATTTTAACCTTTCCCCGCTCTGGAAGGGCTAGTCCAGCAGGATTCCTGGGATTCTCTCTTTCACAGCACTCAAACCTACAACCTCTGGCGCTGGAGCCAGACGCAGACTCCACGCGCATTCATCTTCCCCCCATCCAGTCGAGCCTGAATTAGAACCATGCTTCCCCCACTCCGCGCGACCGCCCGGGTGTCCCACCACGAGAAGAAAATCTGGGGGAGGACGTCGATCTAGGGCCTTGTTGTCCTATCTCTGAGCGAGACATCTATCTCAGTTATTGGAACAAACAAGAGCTTCCCACAAATGAAGGAGATGGCGCCTACGCAGCCGCTATTTCAGGGAGTCACTCGTTATAGATCCCAATGCTTTTCATGCGGTACTCGACCTTTTCTCCCAGACAACGTCGGGGGAGGCACTCGAATTCCTCGATTCATTTGTTTAAACAGGTTAAGCAGTCCAAGACTTGTTAATCGTGGAGGAAGCATGGTTCTAATTCAGGCTCGACTGGATGGGGGGAAGATGAATGCGCGTGGAGTCTGCGTCTGGCTCCAGCGCCAGAGGTTGTAGTTTGAGTGCTGTGAAAGAGAGAATCCCAGGAATCCTGCTGGACTAGCCCTTCCAGAGCGGGGAAAGGTTAAAATTAGTGATGAATGAAATCACGATAGCGTTCAAATCCCATGTTGAACGTGAAGGCCTCCGAAGATGACAATCGAGGGAGTACTCGCTGGAGTACTCCCAGCCAGACCGAGAGAGACTCGGTGGCAATGCCCCGCTAGGGTAGCTCAACAATCTTGTGCATATATAGAAACTCATTCGAAGGCAGGGGTTTTTAACCTTTTTGCACCTAACGGACCCCCCAGATCCTCAAGTATTACCCAAGGACCCCCACCTCCGGTCAGCAGAAACTTTGGAACACCTGGATTTGTAATTATAAGTTATGTTTTTTGGGAGCTACCTTCAATTATATATTTAATTTTCCATGGACCCTCCACGAACCCCCTGGACCTATCCCACGGACCCCATGGGGGTCCATGGACCCCAGGTTAAGAACCCCTGCTCTAAGGCTTTAAGGACCTGAAAGTCATGCCAGCATTTGATGTTCGCCCCTAGTGGGCTTCCAACGTTGGCCCCCAATATGGGTGTGCTGCCTGGGAATTGACCTACACCGTTGCCCGTTCCGAATCAACGTGCAAAAAAGCGGAAGAGGAGGAAAGACTCCACACGGGGGATCTGCTTCCCCTGCTTCACCTGCTCGAGACTCCTGACCGTCTATGGCCGGAGCAGTGTCTCCAGCACTTCCACCGCCAGTGCTACTATCGATGGCAACCACTTAATTCCTCGTATTTCCTTCTTTTGACAACGGATTCTCGGATGCCCCAGAAAACCGATGCAAAAATTTTTCCAGTCGTCATGCAAAGATTCGAGTCGCGAAAGTTTCTCGAGGGAGTGGATTGGGATGGGACGCAAAGGCAGAATATTATCCCTTCTCGTGCTCTCTGATTTTTGAGAGCACCCCACACTCCTTTTCGATGTACACGTGCGGTCCGGTACGGCTCGGGGCCAGTGACGTGGTCAGGGTTTCGCCGAAGGGGGGGCTAAGAGGGGGCTGAAATTTCCGTAACTTCTCCTCATCCCGGGGGGGTGAACGGATGTACTCGAAACAGAGTTAGGGGCTATAACCAAAACGTGAGGGTCTGAAGCCCCCCCCCCTCCTCGATACGCCATTGCTCTGTACTTTGTATGCGAGAAGTTATCGGCTCACACCTGGCTGTTTTCCCACCGCGTTCGACAGCAAACGCGACGGAAATCCCAGTGCCAAGTGTACAGTACTCGATGGAAGCGATAATGAAGTGGCTGATCCTCGCGTCGTGCGTCGCCCTCTCCCTCGCCACGGACGGATGGACGAGCTGCGGTGAGTCTCCCGCCGCCCGATCCTCGTTCCGTTGAGAAAGGGTCTCGAGTGTTCGTCGGTTGCAGGTGGGTCGGCGACCGAGGTGAGTCTGCTCATCTCTGGATGCTCGGAGGTTCCTTGCCACTTCAAAGCGGGGGAGGACATCGACATCTCCGTCCTCTTCTTTTCGGGTTCGTCGAGCACTTTTTGCTTCGCGTCCTCGTCGACTCGTCAGCGAACTCGGAAAGGGAACGGGAACGGGAGCGAAAGCGTATCTGTGACGCTATCGGTGGCGCGATCCCGTTCCCGTCTTCCCTCCAAGTTCCCGGACGAGATTCTGAAAACTCTCACGATTCCATGTTGGTGCACGATCCTCTTCGGTGTTCTCGCACTGGGGCCACGATGCCTAGTGAGAAGTGAAGGCAATTAGATGTTTGGAAGGCACGAGAGGCTGGATGCGCCTGCGTCTGGTCTTGATCGGACGATCGAACGATCTTTAGGGCGGTGGACACGCATTAAAATACAAAATATCGAGAAAGTACTGTCTCAATCTTACTTTATACACCTTTACGGATGAAATGGGCGAAATACGTATTTTGCCGTTATCACCATGGACGATGCGAGGCGATTTATCGGATGCGAACTGTTGCCGGATGCTACTGGATGGTCTTTTTCGAAAGCCGATATACCTAGATTCTCGTGACGATGAGTTGAGGTAAAACAGTGAAGTTAGAAGCAATAGTGACGAGACGAACGAAGGGAGCTTAACTCGGTGAATCCCATCTGCGAAGGCTTTCGCTCGGAACGGCCGACAGACGACGCGAGGGACGAGTCTCACTTTTCCCCCCTTCCGTCTAGGAAGCGAGACGACCAACATCTCGACGTCGGTTTACATCATATTCACGGACCTTTTTCCCTTGGACATCACCGACGAGATGGAACTGAGTCGAGGGGGATGCGAGAAACTCCAGATCGGAGACTGTCCGCTGGAGCTCCAAGAATACGTCCTCTATTTCAGTGAGGCCAAAGTCATCAACATGCCAGGAATTTGGGGGGTGAGTCTCCCTCCCTTCCGTCTCCCTGGCTTCCGTCTCCCTGGCTTCCGTCTCCCCGCCTTTCGTCTCCCTGCCTTCCGTCGTTTCCATCCGAGTTCTTTGGTTCCATTGCGTTCTTCCTCTCTTCCAGGATATCCCGATCGGGTTCCTCATGGAGGGAGATGACGGCCCCATTTTTTGCGCGGAATTCGTTTTCGACGTGATGCCGGAAGGCTCGGAGCGGGCCCGATCGCGAGGATTTCGCGGTCACCTTCACTGAATGAGATAAGGACCTTCTCATGCCTTCCCGACGGATCCCAAATTGAAATCATTCCGACTCTGCCTAATACAGAGAATTTTGCCTCATCCAGCCTTTTTCTTTCTGCTCGTGCATGAGCGTAGTGACGTGTCTCATCGAGCAGAGGGAGATTCTTTAATTTACGTCTTATTCCAATGCCAAAGGTAAAAAAAAATTTGGAATTGAGCTATTTATTCAGAGGAGGAGAAGGAAGGGGAGGGAGAGGAGGAGGGGGGAGGGGGGGGAGGGGCCTCCAGTTAAGCGAGAAAGAAGTGATAAATTGGAGAGGCCTTCTTTCTCTTGGATGAGAGGGAGAGGGATGAGAGGGTCCACAGGAAGTACCAATTAGCTTGGGTTTCGTTAAATTCTATGTTTTAGTTTGCAGAGTCCAAAACAGACCGCACACTCGGTCAATATCCTGTTTGTCTCCTTTTCTTGCGAAGACCCAAAATGTTGGAAGGCAATCCTACAAGACATGAATTGTGGAAAACGCTTAAGTTCCCACCTTCCCTGAATTGAAACAATTCATTATTTGCTGTTTTTATATTAATTTTGAAACGGACCGGTAGATATTCTTGAAAAAGAAGATCGACCTTCTCGGAAAAGACCGCAATCGAATCGTGAAGCGCCGAGGCACAATTTCAATCGCCATTTTAAAAAAAGAAAAAAGGCTTGGAGTATTTTCAAAACGCCTTGCCCTACGGTTTATATCCCAATCGAAGTGGCTTCGGGCAGGGAATCGAGCCGTGCGGAACGATGCAGGCGCGGAGCGAGGCGATGCAGGCGCGGAGCGAGGCGATGCGTGACTCCTCCACATCTCTTCGATCTTCCCGTTTTCCTCCCGGTGAAAGCCACGTTCGGATCTTGCTGCAGCGGTCCCATTGTCAAATTCTGTTGAACGAGAAACACTATAACATGTTTTATTTGCAAACCATACCGGTGCGAAGGGTTGGAAAAACCAGTCGAAGCAATACGAAGGGCAAACGCTTTGAGAGAAATGAATAAAGTCTAATCTCCGTTCATCTGAGAAGCCACTTTTCCTCGCAACCGCCGTCCGAAACGTCCAGAAACGAAAGGAAAGTGGAGCATGACGCAGTCTTTCGTTTCGCGAGTTCACCGGAATAACTGGAAGGGAATTCCGAGGGCCGTTTCCGAACGCCTCGCTCGATAGCACCGTCCCCCATCCACACCGAGTAAGATGAGCATTCGTCTCAGGGCATGGTAGCAGTTATCGCGGAGCAAATGATAGCCGTCTCCTCCCTCGGCTCTCAGGGTCGACACCGAAGGATGTCCGTTCGTCGCGTTGCGCCACTCGGTACACGAGTACCCTCCCGGGTGACCGTCGACTCGAGTGCCGCCTCCGAGATTGTGCACCAGGTAGTCGTACCAGTCCGTCCCACTCCACGCATACACGTTAAGACCCGCATGAGGCACCGGGAGCCAACCATCGTACAGAATCCATTTACCGCAGCAGCCCCAATAGTAGACTGCGCCGTCGACATACGCCGATGACATTGTGATCGCATGCAGGATCGTAAAAAGAATAATAATTCTCTTGCGCGTCATGTCCTTAGTGTCCTGGAATTCACGTACAGCTTGAGATTCTGTGGTTGCCAAAAACGCTGACTATTTCGAAAGTTCACTCGAGTAATGCTACCATCGATTGCAGAAAACAAATGCTAAATTCAATTTAAAGAAAAAAAAATTAAATGGAACTAATTCTCTAGGTTTTCTGGCTGTTTATGCCACTATTCCTTCGTGGAATATTCCCAGAGAAAATTGGGAAGTGCCAAAGACAAAGAACACAAAAAACAGACCCGGAAGCCCAGACGAAATGCCATTAACCCCGAAACATGGAATTCGTCCTAACAGCCTCCCTTTGGGGGGACGAACATCATATCTATGTTCTTGAAAATATGTTGTCAATTGATTCCTTGAAGCGGAAAACGAAGGGCTTCATAGGCATTCGGGTCCTCCGAGACGAATAAACAGACCCAATCGTGGAGGATCCTTTTTTTTTTTATATTTTGTCTCGAGTTCAGGACCTGTTAAGAGCCCCAGAGGGAACCTGTTTCGGACCAGATAATCGACAATAGAGATCCAGAAGCCGTTAGAAACACCCGAATTCATAATGAATAACGTCCAAGAATGAAGGCCTGATTAGGGAGAAGGTCTCATCTAGGCATCTAGACTTTCCAAAGATGATCTTGTGCATGGATGAAATATTTCTCTATTATTCCCGATGGAAATAGCAGCGTCCGGTCGCCCGAAACACACTTTCGCTTACCAACTTGGACGACACATTTACAGAAACCAAGCAGTAAAACGTCCTGGATCGACTCTGTGGTCTTCTTCATGAAATCGAAATTTCGTGAAGCTTCTGCTCTGTAGTTCCTCATCCGGTTAAAGTGGTCACGGAAGGGAATCCAGACTTGCAAAAAAAAAGATTTTTGATTCGTGGAATGTGTGGAAAAGAAACCATAATGAGTCCCCGGGTGACCATTGCAGCCTTGCATCCGACATTCTCATATTCCTCCTGCTGGATGCATTGCTCGAATCTTGACGCAATGGAGGAATTCTTAAAGTCAAACGTGGTAACACGGCATGTAGCGTCTTTTATTTGCAGCTTTTATAAGCAAGATTGGTTAAGGAAAACTGCTGACGTTCTACAAGAGACAAAAGTCACGAGTGGAGTACGTAGTTTCACTTTCGGCGATGTTCACGACTCCTGGATTCATCCGGAAGGGAATGGAAAGTGGAGTAGGACGCAGTCTTTCGTTTCGTCTAGAATTCAATCGTTGTGGGTTTCTTTTTTTTTTTTGGGCGGGGGGGGGGGGGGGCATTTTGTTAGACCCACTCGCAGCACATCCTTCCGATTGCTTGCAAGATGGCTTACAAGAGATGTTTTTGAGAACGGAAGAGCGAGTGAGACTCGCCTGTCGTTCCGGCATCCCGATCGGGGTTTCTCGGAGCCCCGATCCCACAGGAAAGACCGGATACGGTTGCAGGGGGGGTGGCGGGACTCCTCTTTCCTCCTCGGTCCCTTTGCACGATCGGCCGGAAGGGACGGCGAAAAGCACCCGCAGTCTCGCGCCCCTCGGGTCCGCGGGTGGATGCAAATGGGTGGAAATGTTCCGCGAAGAGAGTGGCCGTCTCATGGAGGAGGAATTTCAAATTCTGAGGGTCCGGGAGGAAATGGGATGCAAACGTGGTTTTTCGAGCCAAAAGCTCGATCGTTCCGACATCGCAGATCCGTGGTCACGAGAATCCCTGAGGAAAATGCGACCGAATGGCACCGAGTGCGACGTATTCATCTTATACGTTACCAAAATATGACACCGATCGTGAAACGTTACCCAATACGATCGAAAAACGTGGGGTCGTCCTCATTCCACTGGAGCCAAGAATCCATCGAGCATATTCGTGCTGGGAAAAGAAATCTCTCTCCTCTAAGTTCGCCCTCTAGTTGTCCCCAAAGTGCTACTGCCTTGGATCCTGCCTCATTCGATCCCGATCTTCCGTTCGATCGTCCGAGCCGATCTCCTCAGCCAAATGCGGATTGAGATCTGGGGGTATTCACAGGTGTCTTCACTTTCACGTCTCGTCATTCTTGCACTTGTTAACGGTAAAAAAAAAAATGAAAGTCTCCCAAGACAAAGCAACCCAGTCGACAAATCTGATCACGAAGTTGAGATTGACCATATGGAAAACGCCTCAAGCATTCTTAATCGAAAGCGGTGCAGGCAAAATGGAAATTAAATTACGGTTTCGGAGGATCTCCCCTATCTAATAATTCGTGCTTCATAAGTAATAGTGAAGTCTGAAGTTGCGCCACGAGGGCTTTCTCTCTTCATTCATCTCCATTCATCTGAAGACTCAGTTCCAGAACGAAATGCCTCTTCCTATTTGGAAACTGTTACTTCCCAAAATAGTGATCTGTGTGGGAACTCGAATGGAGTTCGTTCACCAGGAAAGTTAAAAGCCACAACACTTTCTTTTCTTTAACCATTAAACTGTCGTTGGGGATGAATGAAACCCAAGACAATTTTTTAATGTTGTGGCTGTACGACGTGCCTCGTTCCATCGCTCAATGCTCGTCGATGAGTGCTGCAAAATCGGTAGAAGTTCGGCCAACGGAACCACTGAGTTCACGAGACGAAGTCAGACGGGCGACTGGAACCAGAATCAACTGTGGAGTCCATTGGACCCCAATCTCATTTACTCGACCGATCGCTTTAGAGTTAAACTGCTTTCGTGACACCTCCACCCTGTGCTAACAAAGAGTGCCAAGCGGTCGTGGGGGAATGGGGGGAGAGAGAGGGGGGGGGGGGAAGAGTTCAACTGTGAAATTCTACTATGCGGGATACATGTTGTTCTATTTAGAATTGCAATCCCATGCAAGCCGCCATCTTATGAGCGAATCCTGGGGAATCCTGGGGGGGCCACGCACATACACACGCACGCACGCACGAGGTCGTCAGACAAGTTGTCGAGAGTCCTCGCTTTCTCTCGCTTTCCATCTTGTGCTCTGGGAACCGATGCCCAGCGGATGCGGTCGGTCCTTCGGATCAAAGTTTATCGAAGGCTCGGTCGGTCGGAGCGACGGGATGTTCGCTTCCAGAGGATACCGATACCGATCGGGGATTCCGCATCCTTCCAAATGTTATCTTTAACCGTTTCCATCTCGTTCGTCGACTTCCGGCATCCATTTACCACATCGGTAACACATGGTTCCATCGTGGACGTCTAGGGGAATGAGGTTACCTCCGTCGAACGGATTCCCTTAGAGGACCGTCGTGAGATCAGACGCAACTCTACCCGTTCGGCACGACAACGTTGTGTCAGCGTTGAGAGAAGGTTGAAACGTTGAGATTTGGTTGAAGTTGAG